TCTTAGAAAACAATGCAGCTGTGTCAACCATCTCAAAATTTGTCAAAAATACCACTTTTGGTACTTGGAGTTTCAGTGGTCTAGGAGGAAGCCCATCAATCCTCTGCCGAAGAAGGGTTACTCAGCTCTGAGTCAGTAGATTTGCCAATAAGGGAGAGGTGTTTTTCAGCTGAGAAATGCCTTGTGACTCTCCACGTTTTTACCCTTCTGTGCATTGTCTCTGGAAGCCCATAGTTCCATCCCTTGCATAATTGTAAGAAGCAGTTCCTGGGATTTCAGATCTGGAAGGGACCTCGATGATGCCTTAGTGCAACCCCAGAGGACCTGGAGACTGAACAGACACCCCACCCAAGAGAGAGGGCAGAAGTTCAGCCCTAACCTTGCAAGTACGTGGCAGGCTCTCACGGGCTGATGTGTCTCACCTTTCGCTTGTCGTACTGGTGGGTTTTTTTTCTCCCTGAAATTGCATCAAGACCTTTTGTCCTTTTGATGCTTTTTCCTAGTCCTCTATATTTCCATGACAGAATTATTTTTCATAGAGAAATATGTACCGTCTCCCATGGCAAAGGTACACATTTATTACAGGGCTGTGCTGCTAAAGCCCCAGGCAGCCAGGTCTTGAACATAGTATCCTCTTCATCTCCCTGGGCCAGGCATTACTGGAAACACGGTGGACAGCTATGCTGCTCGGAGAGGGTAATTGGATTTCGAGTGAAAAGCAGTGTTTAAATGCAAGACAGGCAGGGTCAAATTCATTGCCCTCCAGGGCTTTTGGCCTTCCAGAAAGCAGGGTATGACAAATTACAATGTGTGAACACTGGCAGCTGTGATGGCCCCACCTGTTCTCAAGCCTCTGGGACAACCACAGTCATGTGACATTTTAAGATTTATTTTGAAATTCCTTTAAGCTACCCAATCCCAGGGTGTTCCAGGCATCCCATGGTGCACATGGAGAAGTGGGTTGTAATGGTGGTGTAGGGACTCACAGCAAAGTTCCTGAGTTCCCGGATTGAGGCCCTTGCAACTAAGAGCCAGGCTTTGACCCGACCGCCGACCGCAGGGACTGTGACCTGAGCTACACTTTCCCCTGCTGCTGGGGTTGTATCTCTACAGATTCGTATGCAGGAATTGAAGGAGGACTTGCCTGTAAGTTTTCATGTGAGAACAAGACATGGACTTAGATTTGTAAAGCCTTTGAAATTTGGAGACACCCTCTGGCTCACTGGGAGTCTATACTTCCGCGATGCTGTGGCCCCCCATGTGCACTGCTACTGGGTCACCTGAATAGGTGATTCTTCCTGCTCAAGGACTCACTGGGTTTTGAATAGTTTTCTACCAAAGAAACTTCTATTCTTAAGCTTCTGACATTTGGGGGTTGACTCACCGGACTGACCGCAAGCTGCGAAGTCATCCAGCTCAGTCCCCATTGCTTACCCTCCCCTTTCTCTTTGCTCAGTGGGACCCTGAGGGAAGTTACCTGTCCCTGTGTATCAGCAGCGCTCAGCCTCCGGGGCAGAATCAGACAGACCTGAGGCTTCCCACAGCCAGTCCAAGTATCTGTTCCTCCTAGTATACCAGTGTTTGGTAGTCAGATAGGATTACATAAGCCCTCTTAGCTGACATAGTAGATTAACCACATGGCCCTGGCCTTTCACGCTGTAAGTGGTGCACCCATGATGTTGGCACCCTTAACCGACTGACTTCTCAGTCTTTGTCCTGTGACTCTCTGTTCTTACTTCTCAAGTTTCATGCTTACCAAGAGGATGCTAGATTTGTTCCTGGACCTGTTTATACAGTTAGTACCCACTATTGAAATGATGTGATTATTGAATGTCATGCGAACCAATAAGGCATGAGAAGATAGTCATTGCTGTGAGTTCAATGCTTTGGAAAGAGCGGGCTACCACAAAATATTCAATGAAAAAGGTAGGGACAGGCCAAGTGTGGATTCAGAAGGATTCTGATCTCAGATTCTGCCACCTTTGCTCCACTTTAAAGACAGGAAAATCGGTGTGACTCATGGTGGATAACTTGGAACTGTAGTGGGGGTGCCCACATTCAACGAAAACATCTGGGCCTCACCTCTGAAGGCTGCCCTAACTTGAAATCATTTAAATGTGAGATTTCAATTCATGCGATTCAAATTAAAATAACAGGTTTAAGTTAGGTACATGTCATTTTTTTATGATTTCCCCATTGATTGATTTTTCAATTAATGGACCAGAAGTGAGCTTTCACTGCCATTATCATCTCTTCCTACAGACCTCAGAAAACTCTTATCCAACATAATAACCACCTTAAGAGTCATTGTTAAACTTTAATTATTTCTGTTATAACATGATAGGGAATTTAGGAAGCAGCATTTGATGAGCTGTCTATGTTCAACTTGGTAGTCATAGTGCAGTCTTTATTTGAATACTGGTTCATTTCTTGAGTTTCACACTAGTTTGTTTCATTGACAGGACTCAATGAAATAAAGGCTTTGGGAGGCAGTGGGAATCCAGCCGAAATATTACTCTGCAGACGTCCTGGGACCAAAAGCCTTCCAGGGTAACTTCTGTTTGCAGCAGAAGTTTGGCTGTTGTAGGGATGTTTTGTCATTGTGATCACTCCAAAGGGAGTGATTTTAAAAATCAGGAAAGAAAGATCTAAAATTCCACTTTTCCTCAAACACTACCTCTTCCAGGATGCTTCTCCCATTTATAAGGAGGTGACAGTTGGGTCTGCTGGCTATCGAGGGCCACATCTCTATTCAGTTTCTGAGGATGCCACCAAAATCAGCCGTCTGTAAAATTGCATCTGCAGTAAAATTCTCAATGAGTAGTCATGCATTTGCCTTGTTCATATGAGATAATCAGAGCAATCACAGTGCCTCACCCTCTACCTAGTGAGTCTTCCTAAATCTTGGCAAATTCCTGTGGTGCTTGGTCACTCCCAGTTCTTTTAGCAAGTGGACCAGTGGCTGATGTATTGGGATTCATGTAGAGTGGTGATTGAGCCAGTTCAAAACAGTGACCACTCGAGTAATTCCTGAAAACACAGATTTCTGCCCTTCAGACACTTAGTCACTTTTAATATCACTTTTTATAGGAGTGAGTTCTGGATTTAGAGCTAAATTCATTTATATTATTTCAGTTACGTTAGACAGTATTTTTATATATATATATATATATTTTTTTTTTTTCCCCCGATCACCCACAGAATATTATGTAGGTTTAGGCTGAACAGCTCATTCTCTGAACCTACCCTGGATGTCTTGACTCACTGTTGCTTGGTTGCGTTAAAGACAGTATGAACTTTAGCTCCCGAAGTGACAGAAGCTGAGCCCTGAGTATATGCTGGGTCATCTGCACTCTACACTTCCTAACGTACTGATATTGGTGAAGGATAGTTTTGGGTCAGCATTATAACCCTTCATTGTTGATTCAGAATTCTCTTTTGCAACATGAGTGGAGTGAAAAGTTTCCCATTAAGCAAACTTCTCTGATCTGTTGCTATCATTGAGTTTCTAATTTGGAGGAATTGTTGAAGAAAAGACCTGCATGGATGCCTCATTTTAACCTCCTCATTGGCAATTGCCAAGAACAGTCAGCAGCTTGGTGTGCCATGCCAGGCTGCTGCAGGGGCCCCTCCTCCCTTCCTTCTGCCAGGAGGCCTTACCAGTTTGTGTGTGCCTCTTACAACACTCTAAGGTGGGCGTGGTTTCTGTAAGGTAGGCTTTTTCAGCCTCAGTACTATTGACGTTTGGGACTGGATAGCTCTTGGTTGGGGGGCTGCCCTGTGCAGGCAGCATAGGATGTCAGCAGCATTCCTGGCCTCTACCTGCTAGATAACCAGCAGCAGCTCCTCAGCTGTGGGCAACTGAAAACGTCTTCTTCCAGACTTTGCAAATGGCCCACTGATTGAGAACCTCTGCGGTTAAGGAATGTGCTAATGTGGACTTCGGTGCCCATCTCTGTCTGTGGTTTCTTCTGCCTCCTCCGAGACAAGGTCTCCAGGTGACCCAACTTCGCCTTTGCTTTTAAGGAACCTGGGCCGGAGGCTGGTATGTTGTGTCTGGATCGGAGGCGTAGATGGCCAGATCTAGGCTTTCCCTTGGGGGAGAACCCTGATGGGTTCAAGATTGTGTAACCTCAAGCCTCTTTGCTCTCCCCATGTCTGTGTTCTTAATGTAGAGGACAGTAACTTTGAGTAACTTTTTAGAGGGTGTTTGGTTTGATAATTGTTTTTTGATAATTTGGTGGATCACTAAAATTATTCTCCAGTCTAAACTTTAAAAAAAAGAACTTATAACATTTCTCACTACTTTTATATTTTGTTTGTGAAAAATTACATTTGCAAAAAGAAAAGAAAAAAGGATAGCAATCCTTCTGAAGGTTTTGACTGTATCTTAAAATCCTAAATTACTGATGAAAGCCAAACACAGCTTCTTCCTGTTGGGAGTTTCTGCTGTATTTTTGTTGATGTCAGTCATACAAACAACAAATTAAAAACCACAAGAACAGCTGTAGGGGCTCTGGAGAGGGGATTCTGCCCGGAGACAGGCAAGCGGCACAATTCTTGAGAGTTCCCAGGAAATAAAATTACACATTTGGTGTGAGCAGCCCAGGTGTTCCCATGGTATTCCTAGCACATATGGTGTGGTTTCAAGCCTTTGATCTATACCCTCTGAAGGGACTGTATTTTACAACCTTTCCAGACCACACAGCCCAGGGCTCATGGCTATCAGTTCCAAGGGAGCAAGCCATCAAACTTATACCAATTCTTGAAACCACTAAGATACATTTGCAAGATAAATGAGTTCAAGCTCTCCCACATCCCATGGTTCTATACTTGGGGTGGAGTATTTGGAGGTAGCTTAGAGTTACAATCAAGTAAGGTCCTTCCCTTTTTGGCTGATAGAATCATCCCAGCATGGCCCCAGATTGTTCTTGCATTTGTGGGTAAACATCATTTGTCACTCATAATAAGAAAGTGGGAAGAGGAGAACGTTAACATACCTATAGATAATACATGCACTGTTCCTGCATGTGTCACAATTAGCTGTGTCTTGCCCCGTCCGATATGAAAGCCTACAAGATAAGAACAGGAGAGCATTACAAGCGGTGGCTGGGGGTCACTGGCTTTATAGAGCAGATGCCTCAAATCAGATGCCTTCCCAATGCCAAGCACATCATGGTCATGGAAATTGATTAATGCGTGTTTCCCAGTTTGCTCCTGTCTCTGCTTTCCTTGTACAGAACCAATGCAACACTACAGCTAAGATGGTATTTAAATTAAATTTAGAAGTGAACATACGCTCCTGGATGAAGTAAATAATATAATTTTGTTATAAGCACAGGGAATTTCAGATGTTTCAATGCAGATTTATGGTGTTTTGAAGAAACTTTGAGGAAAAACCAACCACAGATACATATGCTGACTCCATGGCTTATGTTTGCTCTACCCCCGCCTGTCCTGCTAGAACCAGGACTGGCTAAGTGCGGCCTGCAGGCCAAATCCCGCTGGGGCCTGGTTTTGTCCAGCAAACTAAGAATGGATTTTACATTTTTAAGTGCTTGAAAAAGAAATTGAAAGCATATAATATTTGTGACACATGGAAATGATCTGAAATTCACATTTCAGTGTCCATCAATAAAGTTTTTACTTTTATCAATAAAATGGTGAAAATTTTTATGAAAATACCTATTTCTAGTATCCTCAATTTTGCCTCTTGGTCTGCAAATCCCTGAACATTTACTTTCTGGCTCTTTAGAGAAAAAAAAAAATGCCAAGCCTTATGTTAGAATGTCTTACTGTCATTGCCATAACTTCTGAATTACTTTCTCTGACTTTATTCTCTGGTGAGTTCTGTCAGACCCCCGAGGCCAGGCAGATTTTGGCCTTTGTGGGGGAGGTTGCTGATTCTCCCCCCTAGTTAAAAAATTAATAATAATAACCTTGGGGTCTTTCTGTAGTAGATTGTTGAAGGTTGTATACACATAAAGGGGTTGATGATGAGAATTTTCTGGACCAGGCTGGAGTTGCCTTGGCTATTTCTTGGTCCAGCCACCCAGGAACAGTTGGGGGCTGTTTTGTGCTCTCACGGTTTCTCCTATTTCATCCAGCCTTTCCTCTCTGACATTTTTAACATGCAGATTTGTATTTTCTGAATATTATTTTATGTCCAGGCACAGATATGATAACCGGAATGTTAAATTTGTGACAGGAGAAAAGCTTCCATCTGAATTGGCTTATAAACACTTTGGGGGCAAATTTCCATGTACAGAGCTACTCACCAGAGTAACAGTGTGCACAGAAAGTCTTCTGTCAACATTGCTAGTCAGTATTTTTTATCCCCTTTGCTATGTAAACTTCTCTGCATCATGGGTTCTAAATTGAAAATAACTTGTTTTCCTCATTATATTTTCTGCTACATCAACATTTGACAAAAGGATTGTCTGCTACATGCCGTGATTGTCTCAGTGGGCTTGCAAAACTCAGAGCTGACCTCTCAGTTCCGTGCAGGTCGTTGATCAAGTGACCATATTCTGCTCCAAAGTGTTGCCAAGCACTTCCTGTGATTCATCATATTTCAACCGGAATTGGAGTGACAGTATGGCTGTCTCTATTGTCTTTTCATCATCACCTCCCACTTTGGGCGCCTTTGGAACCTCACATCAGGCCATTCCATTCTCCCGTTGGCTTTGTCAAGGGAGACGGGGATGAACAGCCTGTGTCTTATCCCTTCCCCTTGTTCCTCATCAGACACGGTGAGTTTTCAGTCCTTACCCCTTTCCTCCTCAAGGCAAGCCCCAAGAATGCATTCTTCCTGCACCTTCCCACCTGGCTCCAGATTCGTCCACCCCATGCCAAGACTCTTCCACATCATGACATCACTCTTCTCCCTTCTCTCTTGCCCTATATAGACTTATAGCCTTTTTCCATCAGCTAATTCTACTGGAGCTTGGCTCTAAGCTCAGTGCTGACCAAGGTCATTTTGCACAGTGAAATAAGTGCCACTTGAGCTCAGGTGCTAGCATGGTCCATGCTGAATGTATTGTTAAACCGTTGGCTTGGGTTGCATATGAGGTACTGCTCTACTATTGTGTTGTGCTGGTGGGTATAAACCTACAGTCAGGAGAAAGAGTACCTAATACTTGTCTATAGGTGCTAGTCATATCCAAATTTTAGGTTCTTACAGTGGGCCAAACCGGGGGTATTTAACAGTTTTCTGAAGGCACTCTTTTTGTGCTTACAGGAAAGTGTGAATTCTAAGCTTATGGCACCTTCCTGACCTAAACCTCAGGGCAAATCTCTATCAAGCCTCATCAACATCAACACTCCTTTCTCGCCCAGTGTCCAAGTTTCCCAGTGCCTCACTTGCATTAGAGCCCTGAGCCTTCTAATTATGCTAGCCTCACTTACAGAGGCGAATACAGTCACACTTCAGGTCCAGGATCTCATTATTCTTAGACCTCAGGCTTCTCATGTTCCCTGTCACCTTGCTTGTACTCTGAGGCCGGTGTTCTGCACCACATGTAATTGGCAGCTTGGGATAGGCAATGGACCTGACAATGAGAGGACAAAGGCTTCAGGCACCTGAAATGTACAAGAGGAATCTTCCAGGACCTTGGGGTTCTTCAGTAAGAAGTTGCTTTTCTTTTTCTTTTTCTTTTTTTTTTTTGAGACCAAGTTTTGCTCTTGTTGTCCAGGCTGGAGTACCATGGCACGATCTGGGTTCAAGCGATTCTCCTGCCTCAGCCTCCCGACTAGCTGGGATTACAGGCATGTGCCACCATATCTGGCTAATTTTGTATTTTTAGTACAGACAGGGTTTCTTCATTTTGGTCAGGCTGGTCTCGAACTCCCAACCTCAAGTGATTTTCCTGCCTCGGCCACCCAAAGTGCTGAGATTACAGGTGTGAGCCACCGAGCCTGGCCAAGAAATTGCTTTTCTGAAGCCCATCCTGAAAAGACTTTACTGCAATCACTTTGTAGAAAGCACATATGTCCCCGTTACCGTCAGTAAGCAAATAGTTATTAAGTACCTACTAAGTGTCAAACATTTTTCTGGCTCTACAGGAGACATTTGCAAATAAGATAGAGTCCTTTTCCTCACAAAGCTCACCGTGGCGTGGGAGTGGCAGAAGGGCAACATAAATGCATGAATGAGCGAACGGCTAGATAATTTTGATACTGCTGAGTGTTAAGGAAGTGTTGTGAAGCAGTCTGGCCTAGAATGAACTCTAAGGAGGTGACATTTTTAGTGAGACCTGGATGGTAATAAAAAAGCAGTCAGTCATCTGTTGATCCAGGGTTGGGTGTTGCAAACACAAAGACCATCCCGTGTTAACATCCTGCAGTGGAAATGATGCTCCTTCTCTTTGCAGGTCAGAGAAAAAGGCCAGATGCGGCAGGTGAGAGTGGTGAGAGATGAGGACATGTGTATGAAATGAGAGGCCCTCTGGGCATTATTTTAAATTGAATGGGAAGCCACTATAGAGGTTTTCTTATAGGTGGTTGAATGACATGGAAACACTTCTTGACTTTTATTCTCTATCTTCTCCTTCTGTAACATCATTTTCACTCAATGTCCTTCCTCTTGCTTCCTTTATTTACAACCCAGCCCAGTTCACCAATTCCTGAGAAAATGGCGTGGTTTGGCTGATGTTTGTTGGTAAGAAGCAAAGGAGTCATTATGTTTTCTTTGTTTGGAGATGTATCTGTGGTCATCCTTTTTTCAGCTAGTTGGAAACATAATGGGTGGTCTGTCCGTTTCTAAATATATGTATGTTTCTCCCATGTGCGAGAATTATTTTTAGGACTTCATTACCATGAAGGTGAGGTATTGTTTAAGTTTTGTTTAGGATCTTCCTTTTGTTTAAAGGAATCAATTGTTTGGAGTCCATAAATGTCAGCAGGAGATTAATTTGTGAATAAAATTTAAAGTGTTGACCTTGTCATGTGGTTAATTCACAGGCAGCTGCCAGCAGCTGATGTCAATCAGGGTATGCCTGCTAAAATTTTATTAAGCACGAGTGTTCTCAATAGAGGGCTTAAAACTATGTAATCCATTGTACTTATTGCTTTGATAATCCATCTAATTGTCCTTGAAGCTTCCAAGCTGTAGGGTTTGGCTTCACTGATAATTTTATGGTCACATTAATAATTGGGCTGCAGCATCTGAATATGTTCTCCAAATAGAGATGAAACAGATAAGTTATTTCTACAGGACAGGGAACACAGAGTGCTGTTATGGAATTTCCCTATTTTTTCCTTCTCCACTTGGAAACACGTCAGAAAATAGTACTTTGAATGATTCTCTTTCTATATTGCCATTGCCATAAGGCAGAACAATCTAAAAACTTTAAACTGCTAGAGCAGATACTTCTCCAGTGACTGTAGGGCTGGAAATCTTTTGTGAATTAGAAGTTTAGAGAGGAGAAAGCTTAGGTTATTGATGTAAAAGCTGCAGTAGAAGAACATTTGGGTCACAAATTATAAATTTTCTGTCTTGCAGATTAATTGCTACCTTTGTAAAGCACTCTTCCCTTTTGCTCTGAGGAGCCTGTATTATACACAGACTTGTAACTCTATGCGTGATACAATACCTGGTACCTTCTGGGCATTCAGTTAATGTTAATGTAGCCAAGTCATAGAGTCCATGTTTGTATTTTCGTATCGAAGTCCAGAATAACACATCTGTCTATTTAAAGAATTCCAACTGAGTGTGGAAAAAAACCCTGACAAATATAAATTGTGAAAAGTGCTAGTCTTCATTTTTCTCCCTACATGAACTCCTTTGGGTGCTAATGATAAGCATGTCCATTGTAAATACGGATTTTGTGGCATTCACTATTTATTGTCCCATAGCAGTTAGTTGTAAGTATTCGCTTAACAATGCATGTAGCTTGGAAAACATCGCATTCAGCACCAGGGACAGTGTCACAAGTCCAAGGCACTCTCTTTTTTTGGTGCTTTTGTTTTCTGTTCTGTTGACCCTCTAGCCTCCCATCCTTCTAGAACTGAGTTTTATCCCAGGGACCAATCGGGGGACCCTGGACCTCCCCTTGCTTGATGCCTTTTGAAC